AGGTCTTGGTTCCTTTCCCAGTCTTTCAGGACCAGGTGCACCTAGAGAGATTCAACTACTAATGAGGCCACTGCTCTGCTCATTTGCAGGCTCTGAGGGCATACCATTTCAGCTCACCATCCACAAAGGCTGGTCTTGGTGCAGAGCAGATTCATTGAATAGCTGGGCATGCACATACTTTTTGAAGTACCCTTGTAAACACCAGGGATAGAGATTAGAGTCTCACTAACCATATTATAAGTAAATAAGATAATCACACTGAAGGGGAAGGAGAAAAAAAGAACTAACCTAAGTAACTTTAGAAAACAGTTTTTGAATGAATACTGTAAGGCTAAAAACAAAAGTAATTTGGGACCAGCAGATGGCATAATAGTTATGTCACTGGACTACTATATAGTCAACTGCAGTTTGAGTCCCGGATCCAGTAACTTAAAACTCATACTGGGTGTGTATGTATGCATGCCCAAAATCCCAAGAGGAAACTGGAGGAAGAGTAATTGCGGCATGGCCATCTTCCCTGGGGGATGATTTCTTGCTTTCTTTTTCTCTGGTCTCTCTGTCTCTCCGGTAAGCACACACGTCCTATAGCAAAAATCTCTCTCTCTAAAAAAAAAGTAATTGTATAAATACTGTGTCCTAGTTAGTATGTCTGTTTCCATAGCAGTGTGGATGAAGCTGCTTTTATACCATACTAGGATTGAACTAACATGCAACTCAATATAATGTAGATGAGAGCCAGGTTTCTTATCATCACAGAATGATGTTACGAATGAGCAAGGGAGAAGGCAATGCTGAAACCTGTGGTGCTAGATTAGCATGGAAAATATGAATTCACAATAGTGTAATATATAGATGCAGATAGGTACACAAGTAAATTACAAATAATAAAAGGAGGAACAATAAGAATAACATGATCCCTGTGTTGTACTGGAGCTGGAAGTATCAGTATGAATACATGGATTTTAGTATGCACACTGATAAAAAGATACAGAAATAAATATAATGTGTGGGTATGCATGGGTTAGTAGACATGTTTATTTCCTAGCTCTGTCTGCTATGAGGGCCTAGAAACAATGACACTCCAGTAGCAGTGAGCACACCTAGTACCTAAATCTTGGTCTCTAAAGACCATTAGCCAGTAAAAGGAACCAAGGTTCCATGTAGAAATGATTTATTCCAGGGCTAGGGAAGGATACAAGATGAGTCTGGGGTATCTTGTAGTGCTAGAAAGAAAGGAAGTGCTCAAAAAATAATAATCAAAACATGTTGAAAGGGTCCAGGAACAAAAATGTGAATGATTTCCCACTGGCCAAAGTTGAAACAATTTGAATAGCAAAGCAAACAACAAAAATATTAGATTAACATACATATGGAATGAAACAATTGTATAAATAAATAAATTGTGGAGATGGAATAGTTCTTCTTTTAGAGGAATTTTAGGAAGTAAATATTGAAGAAATAAGGGTAATACAAAGTCACTATTAAACATATATCACATTAGTAACTGTTACAGGAAGAGTCTACCAATAGATTTTAAAATTAATGAGTGAAAATGTAAGGAAAAACAGGATATTTTCATTTTTTCAAAATATCTCCCATGAGACATTTATTTAAAATAGTAACTTTCCAATGGATAAACTCAGCAGACACAGCCTTAACCAAGTATGGAGGTTACCATCAGTAATTATGTACTCTGTTATGATATACTAACAAAGGCACAGTACCACTTCCAATAGCATTCTTATTAAAAAATGTTCACTCTCAACTTTTTGCACAAGAAAACATCAGAAAGCTCAAACTGAGAGACAGTCTACAAAATACCTGATAATTTCTCCTCAAAAATTTCAAGGCCAGGGAACCAGCAGTTAGCATAATGGCTATATCGCTGGACTCCCACGTAGTCGACCGCGGTTTGCGTCCCGGACCCAGTTCACGCCGGGCACGTGTGCATACATGCCCAAGATCCCGAGAGGAGAATGGAGGAGAAGGGATTGCAGCGTGACTATCCCCTCTGGGGGGTGATTTCTCGCTTTCTGTCTCTATGTCTCTCTCTGTCTGTCTGGCGAGCGCATGCGCCCTGTAGAGAAAAACCTCTCCAAAAAAAAAAAAAAAATTCAAAACCATAAAAGACAAGGAAAGACTAAGGAACTGTCACAGACTGGAAGAAAGTACAGAAACATAACTAACTGCAATTTGGAATTATTGGATTGAGTCTTGGAACATTAGTGGAAAACTGGTGATATTCTATAGAGTCTATAGTTTAGTTAATGGTATTTAATACTACTGGATAGTCAGAAAAGTCATGATATATTTTTTTCCATGTTTTTCTATGCAAAAGTGGTCATGACTTTTCCAACAACCCAATATTATACCAAAGTTAATTTCTTAATTGTGGTAATTATACAATCTTCATGTAAGATGTTAACATTGGAAAAAGCTGGGAAAAGAGTATTCAGGAACTTTATGTACTACTTTTCCAACTTTTCTGCTTGTTTGAAATCTTTTCAAAATAAAAACTTAAGGGACCAGCAGTTAGCGTAATGGCTACGTTGCTGGACTCCCAGGTAGTCGACCGCAGTTCACGTCTTGGACCCAGTGACTTAAAACTCACACCGGGCGTGTGTGCGTGCGTACCCCAGATCCCGAGAGGAAATTGAAGAGAAGGGATTGCAGCGTGGCCATGCCCCCTGGGGGGTGATTTCTTGCTTTCTGTCTCTCTGTCTCTCTCTGTCTGGTGAGTGCACACGCCCTTTAGCAAAAACTTCTAAAAGAAAAAAACTTAAAAATGATAAAGTATTGGTGCAAATCAAGCAGAATCTATTAAGATAATTTATTCATAATCTTTCATTTCTCCCTTTTAAACACATTAGTCCTTTTAAAGTCGTGTAATATGTTTTAGATGGGCCACTAATTTTTAAAACTAATTATTTTATTTAACTTTATTTATTTATTTAAATTTGGCCAGAGAGACAGAGAGAGAGAGAGAGCGAGAGAGAGCAAGAGAGAGCGAGCGCGGGGGAGGGGGAAAGCAAACCACCAGGTCTGAGACTCTAACCATGGTCAGCCATGTGGGAAGTCCAGTACCCTTAATCACCACACCACCAGCAGGCTCTAGATGGGCCACTAATTTTGTAAAACTCCAAATATGTGTCTAGTATTCCTATATAAAACACATAATTTCTTATTGTATAGAGGATTTCAATACAATTTAAAAATTAACTTTGTTAGGGAACATGTCTTATTTATCTACCATTGTGTAACATATCTTTACATCTTCTCAAGATGGCCCCCAAATACTGATTTCACTTTCTACTTTCCCACAGACGTCTGAACTGTTATTATAGGAGGACACACTGACTGCTTCCGATGCAGAATCTTAAAGTCTGCCAATCTTTCTCAAAACGTTAATCCCAACTCAACAATTTTTCCTATCACATTTCTTTCTATTTCTGAAGCCAGAACTCTGACCAAATTTTTGTTGCTTAATATCTGAATAATTATGATTACTGCCTATCAGGAATGCTGCCATCAAATGTGTCTCTTTTTCAAAAAAAAAAAATTGTCACTTTACTGTTTTCCTTACATCTTACCATATCATATGCAAATTCCTATTATTGATGTCCTGGGTTTTTATAGATCTATCACTGCATTTATCAAGCTCCTTCAATATCTTCCCAACATTCTCTTTTGTCTTGCTCTACCCACTCATTCATGTATTCATTCCATTAACTTTCACAAAATTTCAGCAATGCCAAAGGCCCTGGGTTGAATGTGTAGAAGATATAAAGTATATATAATTATCTCTTCTTATCTATCCTTCTCATTTACAAATCTGCTAAGTTATTTCTTTTACCTGAAATATTACAAGCCCAAAATTCATACTTTCATCAATCCTACTTCATTGAAAAAAACTGACTTAAGTAGCCTGAGGAGGATACTCATTTGCTAATTAAAAAAACGGATGGTAACTTTTATAAAAGAGAAGGTGAGAGGCTGGGCAGTGGCATAGCAGTAAAACACCATGCTCTGCAAGGGTGACCTACATGGGACTGTTCTGAGTTTGCATCCAGACATCCCCCTGCGTGTGCCAAGCCTGCATATGCTCGTGATCTGGGGCTGGATGAGACTTGGGGAAGACTGCAGCATTAAGACTGGGTATGTTCTCTCACTAGATAAATAAATTAAAAAAAAAAAAAATGAAGACAAGAGAAAGAAGGAAAAACTAAAATAAAATGTTGGCCATTAAAAAGAGAAACAGACCCAAATGTATCACTGTTTTAAGAGCTGAGCTACTGGAAGGCAAATAAGCAGGTCTTGTACCTTCTGAATAATCCAGAACACCGTGGTTCTTAAGACTGAAGTGAAAGCCAAGTTTTCAAAAATTGCCAAGAGCTCCCTGGGTAGTTAAATGGTATTCTGAAGAGGGTAATTTAGGAAGAAGTCTTAAACTGACCCCCCAGTTTCCCATGATCCCATCAGAGTATATAAAGAGTATCCCCAAATAGGAGACTGGTGCACTGCCCTGTGTCCCAGATCAGATGGGCGACGAAGAACCTATGAAGTGGCAATTCTGGATCTGTGACAAGGCTTACTTGGGCTTAATGTTACTTTGTCCCATTTCTGATGGAACTCCTGGTCGCTGATACTATAGGTTGCTTGAATAAAAAGACATTACAGGGACTAGCAGATGGCAGAATGGTTACATCACTAGACTCCCACATAGTTGACTGTGGTTCAAGTACCAGACCTGGTGGCTTAAAATTTATGCTGGGGGCATGTGCGTGTGCATGTGTGCCCAAAATCCCAAGAAGAGACTGGAGAAGAGTGGATTGCGGCCTTCCTCCGGGTGTGATTTCTCACTTTCTGTCTTTCTGGCAAGCACGTATGCCCTATAGCAAAAACCTCTCCTTAAAAAAAAAGAGAGAGAGAGAAAGAAATTAAAGAAAACAAAAAAAAAAAAAGAAAGAAAAAAAGAAAAGAAAAGACATTATAATTCCCACCTGCTGATTTTCCTTGAAAGTCTGGATTAATAACTCTTTCAGTTTCCTTTTTCTTTCTTTTGCTGTTTTTTCTTCATCCAGAAGAATGCAAGCACTTTGAAACACATTTTTTTCTGGATTCTTTCGAGAATTTTCTTCTTGCCTTTTCTTCTCTCTATGAATAAAACGTATATATGATAGCTTTAGCAATTAATCATTATGAACTACTATAGTAGAATGATCACTGAATTTTCCATCAGAAATTATAGATTTTTAGATCTGACTTTAAAACTATACAGTAGAGTGATTTCTGGAGGTGGAGGTAGGGTGAAATCCATACTTTTTATTTGTAATATGCAGATACAATAAAATAAATTATTATAAAGTACTTTGAAAAACAGAAAGTCTTACAGATATTTTAGCAAATTTTTTAAGGTTTTTGTACTCACTGGAGACAGAGACAAAGAGAGGGAAAATGAGAAATCATCCCCCTGGGCAGGATGCCATCTCACCATCCCTTCGCTTCCAGTCTCTTCTGAGGATTTTGGGCACACACACACACACACACATTGGCCACATAGGAGTCCAGTGCCTTAACTACTATATCATCTGCTGGTCCCTTAGCAAAGTATTTTTACTGAATTTAACACTGAGCTGTACTTCGATCACAGTGTGACAATGAACATCTACTAGATATTTTTCTAATATAGGATATAAGTTCTCTCACTATAATGGAAAAAAAGGATCCTCATGTAAGAAAAGAATGAGAATCTTACCAAAAAATTTTTAAAAGGAAGAAAAAAAATTTTCTAGGAAGAAAAACAACAGAAGAATCAGGTGTTACTGAATAAGGAGAGATTAGAATCTAGGAAAATTCTAAATTAGCTAAAAAGAGAAAAAAAAATGACAAGGAAAAGGCCATTAGTCGATAGTCAAGAAACCAGAATCTTTTAATAACTGTTGGTCATCCTCTTGTACACCTGACTGTTCTTCCTTACCCAGACCATCCTTCAGTCACTAATGCAAGCAGGCTCATAGCTACTGCCTTCTTACTGGAGTGCATTTAAGTACACGGTTATGTGTATCTGTGTAAAGTAAATGTTACTCATGTTGTGGTAAAGATAGCACCTGGTCAGGAATCAAGATTTAAGGGCTCTGGCCATAAACAAGCTATTAACACCTAGGCAAGCCACCTTGTTTTTCTGGAACTTCACTTTACAGTTGTGAACTCGTATGAGAGGGCTGCCAGAATATTCTGTAGAGATTTTTTTCATTCAGTCTCATAGATCATACAGAAGGCACATAATGTTAAGTTGTATTACTGGCGATGGTAACCATGATCACTTGGTTTAAGATGTCTTCTTCAGTGTAAAGTTATTATTTTCCCTTTGTAATTAATTAATATCTGGTGGTGATCCTTTAAAACTATACAATGAAGCAGATTTGGGATAGCTTATAAATTGGTTAAAAAGCCCTACCAACAATAGATTGACTGACTCTTTCCAAACTACCAATGCTATAACAATGTTATACCAGATGATTATGGGTGGGTCATAGTAGGCAATAAAGAAATATGGATTCAATATAGATTCACACCATGGATTTTAAAGATAACATTAAAGTATGTATCTGCTATGCAAGTAATACCTATTCATTATGAAAAATTGGGAGGTATAAAAGCATCCCATGTAGCTACCCAGAAAAAAACAAATAAAAAAGAAACAATGGTAACATATCAGCCCTATTTCATTGTACAAACACTATTTTAATAATTTTTCCAGTATTATTTCACATATGCCATTATAAATAATCCTATTTTAATTATCTTTATATACACACATCTTTGTTTAGAGAGATTTCTGATCATTTTCTTAAAGCAGTTTTCCTAGGTCAAGAGAGAGTGTCATTTGATGACTCTTCTTGTTTCCAAATTGCTTTCTGGAGAGCTTGAGTCAGTTCATCCACCTCAAAGTAGAACATATGATCTTTCTGACTGTAATCATTGACAAGATTTTAACTTTTAGAAGAAATGACTGGTCAGTGAACATTTGCTGAGTGCCCACAGTGAGCAGAGCATCCTGCTACCATCAAATGTTACTTGTTTTCACAATTTATTTTAGGTCAGCCTAGTTTTTTCGGGGCTTAGGAGCAATCTGAAAAGCAAGGTTGACCTTGGAAAGAACTCACTAAAGCACTGGTGATTGCTTTCTGAAAGGAACGGCATCTGGAGGCGGCCTAAGCCTGGCACTTAAAGAAATGAAGCACACGTCCACTGCCAAGCTGTTTTAAATTGGGTAGAATAAGAGCAATCAGAAACACAGAGGGGAGGGGAAGCTGTGTAGGCTGATGGGAGTGGAAGAGATTATCTAATAAGTCTTTCTGGCCTCTCAGTTTGAGTATTCAGACACCTTGGTCACGTTGTTCCAAGACTTCAGCAGTTCATGCATCAGGCTGTTTCTCAGAATAAACACATTAGTTACTCTATTTATGAAGCTCATTTCTGCGTGAGGATGGATAACAGTACTATACCCTATAAGGACTATTTTCATTTTTCTCTTATGTCAGATATTTTTTTCTTTATCAGTGCAATAAGGCAAGGGTTTTCCATATGACTATCAGAAAATAAGACATTAACACAATTTACACTATGATAAAGAACAATTAATGAACATGCATAATAAGAAAATATGTTCAAGCTTAAACGTATTATGTAACCAAGGAAATGCAAACTAATTCATTTGATACCTATCTGAAGTATAAAAATATTGAAAATGATATGATTCCCAATGCTGTGGTAAATTGGCCCACAGCCAGTGACAGAATAAATAAGTACAACCCATCTTAAAAGCAATTTGGCAATGTTTCAAGAGGCACACAAAGACCTATACTATTTAACTCAGTAATTACACTCCTAAGAATTTATCCTAAGAATATAATTCAAAAAGAATAAAAAAGTTCTATGCTTAAAGATACTCATTGCAATATTGTATTTGTGAAAAATATGAAATCGCTGTAATGCTTACCAGTGTGAGAGGAGGTCATTACATAAATTATGGTATATGAACTCAATGGGGTAATATACAGACCTCAGAACTGCAGGCAATGTGTTAATTACAACAATTAAAATAACAAATTAAACGTACTTTATGGTTGTAATTGAGTATGTAAAGGGACCAAGCTTGGGAGGAAACATGAAAAAATAAAAGTAGTTCATTTGTTTTGATGGTGGGACAGTGGATATTTCCTTTGTGTTTTGTTATTGCAATATTTGTTGTGTATTTTTGAACCCCTAGAGCTTAAGCGGAAACTCCACACAACATGTCATGCTGGCTTACAGTTTCCATGCTTCTTCCACGGTCAGTCTCCTCTCAATGATCTCCCTCCGCAGCTTTACCATCTCCCTTTGAATCTCTTCCTCCTCCTTCTTGGCCTCCAGAGCCTTCCTTTTCTTCTCCTCTTGCACCAGACACTGAGCTTCCAAGAAGGCTGATTTTTTCAAGGCCTTTTCGATTCTCTGGCACTCTAGCTCTTTCTCACGTCTTAAGCGATTTTCTTTCACCTTAAAGAATACAAAGGTGACATGCAGACTTTGGAGTAGAAAAGGATGTGCAAAATGTTGGACACATTCTGAAGTTCAGAATACAACCAGTTTGAAATATTCTGGCCCCGAAGCCCACCAATGGGGGCATTCATTTGCTTACTGGGTAAAGGACAATACAAAATTCAGATGAAATCAGACGAAGATGACTCTCAAATATTCTGGGAACAATCTGCATTATCAAACAGCTGAGAATTGAATGGAACAGATCCTAAGTTCTAGAATCTGACTTATAGTGATTTCTCACCAATACGATTGTTCAAGGTGTACATTTAAATACTATCTACATTCTAATTATAATTTAAGAAAGAATAGGAATCTTTTTTGGAGGTTACATTCTGGAAGATAGAATGTTGTGATTTATTGCCTTAAGGAACACAATTCATTTATTTCTACCATCGTTTAAATATACTAGTGATTCTGGATCACATTTGGAAACTGAAAACATGAACTTTGCAGATATTTCTGAATAAACACATTCACTTTTCAGAGGCTTGACTAACTATGAGGGAGTGGGCTTTTCCCACCTGCTTCATTTAACTTTACCCTTTATCATACTCCCTAGTTGTGTTAAGACTTCTAGACAATGGCCATATATCTATCTCATTGAACCTTCTCCTCTCCCTCTGTCATAAATCCAAACCAGGATCATATTTCTCTCCTTGTATCTCCGGCATCCCCAGTTCTTACTGGCATATCTTAATGGTTTAGAGCAGTGATTTTCAAATTTGACAATCAGAAATTCAGTGTTATAAAAAGTACACACATATAAATATTAATTCTAGCTCAGTCTTAGTCCTGGACATATGGCAAAGACTTGGTCATTCTGGTTCTCTGAAGCTCCCTCACAAAGTGTTGAGCTATCAGTCACTTTTCCTATAACCCACTATACTCTTTGGAAAAAAGAAAGCACCTCTATGCTTTTCCTAATTCAAAACAGCTGAACTAGATTTAATTCAGATCTGTATTCCCTCTCAAATTATAATCACAAAACGAGTGAATTTCAGTTGTCTAGAAAAGAATTGTCCTCATAACATTCACCAGAATATTCATGATATTAATATATTAATGTCACAATTCAACAACCAAATTCAAGCACATGCAATCTACATATTAATAATAGAGAAAGCTACAGTCAAACTAATAAAGTTGATTTAGCTCAACACTGTATTGGTCAGAATCAGTTATTTATTTTTTGGTTATTTCTTAAATAAATTGTTTCCTATCCTCAGCTTATGAGAATTATTTTTTTTCTGAAGTTCTTATATTTTATTTTTATTCTTTCTAACCAAACCACAGATGGCACTCTTTTTCATAATAAAGCCTAAATCTTTATTTAAGCTTATTAAATGTGTTACACAAAGACTGCTTCCTGTTATCCATTTTAATTTTGTTTTTCCCTCCCACCTGCTTATGTCTCATCTCCATGGTAAGACGAGGATCCTTCTGCTGCTGCTTGTCTTGGTTTTCCTTCATTCCAAGATCTTCCAACATCCCAAAATCCACCACATTTTTATGGAGCAGATGGTCTATAAATTTTTGAACGGTGGTACTTTCCTCTTCATCTTCCAAATAGCCACATAAGTCTGGGGGGAAAGAGAACAACAAAAACAGGATAATTTAACCATATTTAAAAATTTTAAATATAATATTCATATTTACATGAAAAGCCATGGTATAGTATAAATTAAAATCTCTGCATTTTCAATACACAGTAACTGATAATCCCATTTAGATGACTACAGTCCTCAGCATTACCTTCAACTAAGAGGAAAAAAGCTCCGTGCATCAGACATTGCCTTTGCCCAGGTCACTGAAGACTTCTTCAGTGCCAAATCTAAAAGATATTATTTCAGCCTAAACAACCTTGAAAACTTTATTGTTTTAAAAACAAAACAAAAAAACTTCACTGTCATATAATTGATATACAATAAACTGCAAATATTTTTAGAGTCCACAATTTTTTAAAATTATTATTATTTTTATACTAGAGGATGTGTGTATGAGAGACAGAGAGAGAAAGCACCACCCCAGTGGGTCTAGTCATGTTGCAGTCCTTTTTCTTCTAATTCTCCATCCAGTCAAGATTCTGGGTACAAGCATGCCCTGTATGGCCCCAGATATCTGTAGGATTCGACCAGTATGCGCTGGTGTAACAATAACTTTTAACATATACATATGCTGGTAAAAACCATGACCACAATCAAGATAACAAAAACGGCCATCAGCTCCAAAAGTGTCCTCATGCTGATCTGTAATCTCTTCCTCTCACTCTTTCTTGTGCCCTCTACTCTACTCCACGTAGGCACGGGCCTGCTCTCTGTCACTATAGTTTGTGTTTCCAGAATTTTATATAAATTCAGTCATATATTTTGTATTCTTTTTTTGCTCTGGCTTCTTTTACTCACCACAATTCTTTTGAGATTTAACCGTATTCTATATATCAATAATTTATCCCTCTTTATTGCCAAGTAGTATCCCACTGTATAGCTATACTACCATAATCTGTTGGACATTTGAGTGGTTTCCAGATTTTGGCTATGACAAATAAAGCTGCTTTGAATATCTGTCCACAAGTCTTTTTATGGAAACAGAATTTCTATTTTCTGTTGAGAAAATGCCTTGGGGTGGAATGCTTGGATCATATGCTAAGTAAGTGTTTAGAAAATATCAAACTGTTGTCCAGGTTATACAATTTTACATTCTCACCAGCAGTGTGGAAGTGTTCCAGTTCTTTCACATCTTTTCCAACACCTGGAATGGTCAGTCTTTTAAATGTAAGCCATCTTAATAGATATGTAATGGTAATTCATTTTTAAAAATTTTTTTTTGAGAGAGGCATTTGTGCAATAAGGTGCATGTGCTGGCCTGAGGGACAGAAAGTAAGAAATCACCCCCTGGGGGGATGGACACACTGCAATCCTTTCTCCTCCATTCTACTCTTGGGATTTTGGGCACACATGCATATATGCCCAGCGTGAGTTTTAAGTCGCTGGCTCTGGGAATCAAACCACAGTTGACTACATGGGAGTCCAGTGATGTAGCCATTATGCCATATGCTGATCCCATTCATTGTAGTTTTAATATGCATTGCTCTAGTGACTAATCATATCGAACATCTTCTTTGTTGATATTTTTTAGTTGTTCTGTACATTACTAAAAGTGGGACAGTGAAGTCTCTAACTGTTGTTGTCTAGTGTTTCTCCCTTCAATTTTTTTTTTTGGTAGGTTTTTGCCTCAGGGTGCATGTGTTCGCTGGAGAGAGAGACAGAGACAGTGAGAGGGAAAACAAAAAATCACCCCTAAGTGAAGATGGCTATGCTGCAATCCCTTCTCTTCCATTTTCCTCTCAGGATCTTGGGCACGCATGCACATGTGCCTGGAGTGAGTTTCGAGCCACTGAGGTCCAGGATTCAAACTGCAGTTGGCCATGTGGGAGTCCAGTGATGTAACTGATATGCCATCTACAAGCCCCCAATTGCGTCATATTTTGCTTCATCTATTTTGGGACTCATTTGTCAGGTGTATGCATATTTATAGTTATTATGTTCTCTTGATGGTTTGACTCTTTTAACATTATAAAATGTAATTTTTGTCTGTAGTAACAATTTTTTAATCCTAATGTCTATATTTTTCAGATGTTAATATAGCCACTCCAGCTCTCTTTTGGTTATTGTTTGCATGGTTCATCTTTTTCCATCTTTTTACTTTTAACCTATTTGTGTCTTTTTTTTTTTTTTTTTTGGAGACGTTTTTGCTATGGGGCGTGTGCGCTCACCAGAAAGACAGAGAGAGAGAGACAGAGAAAGACAGAGAGACAGAAAGAGAGAAATCACCCCCCGGGGGGGATGACCATGCTGCAATCCCTTCTCCTCCATTCTCCTCTCAGGATCTTGGGCATGCACGCACACGTGCCTGGCATGAGTTTAAGCCGCTGGGTCTGAGACTCGAACCATGGTCAACTACATGGGAATCCAGTGATGTAGCCATTATGCTAACTGCTGGTCCCCCTATTTGTGTCTTGAATCTAAAGTGGATCTCTTATAGATAGCATATAGTTAGGCCATATGTTTTAAATCCATTCTGCCAATCTCTGTCTTTAGATGAAAGTGTTCAAAACCATTAATATCTAATGTAATTCCTCATAAAGCAGGGTTTATGCTTGTCATTTTGGCATTTATTTTCTATATGTCTTATGTAAATGACCTTTATCAAGTTGAGGAATTTCCTTTCTGTTACTAGTTTGCTGAGAGTCTTCTAAAATGAGGAGTGCATGTTAGATTTTAAGTACTTCGGTGTCAATTGAGATAATAACACATTAATTAATATTTTTGGTAAATATCCTTTAAAATTGTAATAGTTTTGTTCAATATTTCACTAAAAAAAACAACCCTACTGGCATAAGATGACTGAAACATGGTATGATACTAGATAATAACAGCCAATCTATGTAAAGGGGTACATCTATTAGTACTATAGCAAAGGAAGTGTCCCTACAGTCCATATATTTGATTCAGAACAATGATGATATTAATTAAGTAGAAAATATCCAGAAGGTGACATCTAAGCTGATATATCTAGAAACCATGTGGCATAAAGAACTGTTCAGAGGCCCAGCTGTGGTCATACAAGAACAGTGCTGCTGTGCAAGACTAGGGCCACATGGGAGGCCTGGGTTCAGATCCTGGAATCCTGAACATGCCAGGCACAGTGGCATCTATCTGTAATCCTAGCTAACTGGGAGACTAGTGCTGAGAATGACAATGGTGAGACCCTGTCAAAAAATACCTATTTCTTTTTCTTCCATTCAACTTGCTTGTCCACTCTCTCTTTCATTAAAAAAAAAAAGCAATTCAGAGTACTGGTGCTATTTAATCTAAGAACATCAAAGTATATGAGTGTTCAGATATGATTAAAACTCCCACAAAAACATAAAAAGACTGGTATTGAGAGAGGACTTATTTCTGTTACACCAAAGGTCAACTGAGAATGAAAATCAGAATACTCCTAAGAGAGAATTCTATGAGGATTAGAGCCTCACAGTGACTGAATGGGCTCCTCCCAGGGTTGTAAGGCAAAGATTCCTTCACTAAGTCTTGGGGACACTGGAAAATATCTGTCTGGGTGGGTGAGAAGGGTAGATTATACTAGGTCATCTTGAAGGATTCTTCTAACTTTAAGAGCTCACAACTTTGTGATCCTTCAGCTGGGGATTTTGGAGAGTCCTAAATAAGAGGGTTGCTTCCAGTGGATTCATTAATTCATCATCACATCCACTCCCATGCACAGAGGAAGAAAAACATAGGCCCTTGAGTGCATTTGAGAAATCTTTACAAGTTAGCTAATTAACCTTACATGAGAATAGTGGCGTTTTCCCCAGTGAGGGGACCAGAAAAGTAATAACCTCCTTTAAAAGTAATAACCAATGAAGATAAGTAAATACAAATGCTTAAATGCAGTCTTTATCAAAGTAATCATCTATTGCTCTCTTGGGAAGGAAGACTCTTAAACAGCATTAATTGCTATTACAATCATTTTTTAAAATTATAAATAATAGAATACTTTAATTTTTGAAATAACACCATGAATTTACTGAGGACATAGCATAAGTAATTTACATCCAAACATGGAAAATGGCAGCTGAAAATAAAACTAAGCAAAACACAGAAAATAGAAAAAATGTATTGTCTTGGTCTGTTATTATATTGCTCACAAAAATACCTGAGACTGGGTGATTTATAAAAAAAAAAAAAGAAGAAGAAGCAGCAATTCATTTGCTAGACTCACAACTTTTCTGGTGGCTGGAAAGTTCAAAGGCATCACAAAATCATGGAAGGCAAAACTTTTAGCAGAGCAGAGTATGGTCTGTATCCATGAGTTTTTCTGCAGCCTCATTTCTTCTCCTTTTATACTCACCAGAACTCAATGGCATTTCCCCAACCTAATACGTTTTTCACATCCAGAGGCCCCACCCTCAGATACCATGATGGGATTACGTTTTCACCTAACACCTGTATAATACAACTAAGTCAAACACATAAACTTTGGGGGTATATCCAATCACTACTCACTTAAGACTAAATTCCAAAATGTAAACCTTTGAGTGATAAGCTGCTATCTAAACCATAACATATACATTTATTATTCAAAATAATTACAAAAGACTTCTTAAACACATTCATTAGATATTAAAAATTAGAACAATCAGGTAAGTTCTTACCATCGAACTTGCTGTATTTCAAATGAACACTGGCTTCTGGCATAGGAATGATGTGTGACATAGTGCTTTCAGCATCATCCTCTCCATCACTTGCTAATTCTTGGCTAAATTTGGTGTCTAGCCAGTCATTTACTAGCTCCTGAGCTATCAATAAAACAAAAACATCTTTAAATATTTAATTACCCCAGAGACTTTCTTCATTAACTGTTTTCATTCATTCAACAAATATTAATTGAACATCTATTATATGTCAAGTATTGTTCTAGATGCTAGAAATATAGCAGTGAACAGAACTAGAAAAATAAACTCTACCACCATGAGGCTTACATTCTAATCAAAGAAGAGAGATAATAAATCAACAAGAGAAATATAAAACAAGGAAAGGAGGAGTGGAGAATAGGAAATGGATGATGGATGTTATTATTTTAAACTGGGTGGCCAAAGAAGGTCTTGAGCAAAGGGAAGGAAATGAATATGGATACACAGCCATATGTCACTTAACAATAGGGATACAATCTGAGAAAGGCATTGCCGGGTGATTTCATCATTGTGTGAACATCATAGGGTGTACTTACACAAACCTAGATGGTATAGCTGAGGCTGTATAGTATAGTCTATTGTAATCTGATGGGACCACCATCATGAATGTGGTATCGAAATGGTTTAATGAGCTGCCTGACTACACAGTTTAAGGAAATAGTCCATGCAGAGGGAAAGCAAGTGCAAAGGCCCTCCGGCAGAAGTGTCTAGATATTGGAGAAATTCCAAGGAGATCAGTGTGGCCACAGAAGAATAAGTGAGGAGGGTAGTGGGAGAGGAAGTACAAGAGGTACTGTGCAGATCAGGTTTAGTGAAGTGGTTATCAGTTGGGGGTGATCTTGCCCCACAGTGGACATACGGCAATGTCTCAAGCCCTTTACGGTTGTCATGACTGGGGGCAGGGGGTGGGGAGAGGTGCAGACCAGTGATACTGGCACGCAGAGTAGAGGTCAGTGATGCTGCTCCACCCCCAGTAAAAATTCTCTAGCCTCAAATGTCAATAGTCCTGAGACTGAAGTCCCCTTGTTTAGTCTTGACATCATTCTTTGGCTTTTTACTCTTGGTGCAATGGGAAGACACAGGAAGATTGTGAGTAATGAGCTGACATTTTAAGCAGATCATACTGACTACTGTGTTAAAACGGACCTTAGGAGACAAACAGGGAAGCAAGGGACACATACAGCAATTTAGGAGAATGGTGATGATGACTTGGACCTGCAGTGCAGGTACAGGTTGAATATTCCTACCCAAAATGCTTGGGACTAAAAGTGGTTCAAATATTGGACATTTTTGGATTTTGGAATACTGGATACAAATAATGAGATGTATGGGGATGGGACTCAAATCTAAACATGGAATTCATTTATGTTTCATATACAACTTACGCACATAGCCTGAAGGTAATTTTATTTTTATTTATTTATTTAGAGAGAGATTTTTGTCATAGGGCATGTGCACTCACTAGAGAGACCGAGAATGACAGACAGCAAGAAGTCACCCTTTTGGGGGCGTATCCATGCTGCAATCCCATCTCTTCGATTTTCCTCTTGGGATTTTGGGCAGGCAGGTACACACGCCTGGCGTGAGTTTAAGCTGCCAGGTCCGGGACCCGAACCACAGTTCACTATGTGGGAGTTCAACAACGTAACCATTACACCATCTGCTGGTCTCCTGAAGGTAATTTTATAAAATACTTTTGTATTACTGTATTTTGGCTGTGACCCATCGTATTATGTCAGATGTGGAATTTTCCACTCGTGGTGCCATGTTGGTGCTCAAAGCCTTGGATATTGGAAATCTAAGATTTTCAGATTAGGGATGCTCAACCTGTATTAAAAATGGTCAAGACCCAGACATGATGGCACACGTTGCTAATATATTGTGTGTTCCACAGGCTAGGACCACAAAGAGGCAGGGCTTGATTCCTGGTCTGTCCCAAGGGCCAGGCATGGTAGTAAGCACCTATTATCCCAATGTCTCAGAAGGCTAAGGCAGGAATAGTATGAGCTCAAGGCTAGCCTGGTCAACAGAGCAATACCCCATCTAGGGACCAGCAGTTAGTGTAATGGCTATGTCACTGGACTCCCACGTAGTTGTCCGCAGTTCAAGTCCTGGACCTGGTGGCTTAAACTCATGCCTGGCGCGTGTGCGTGCGTGCCCAAGATCCTGAGAGGAGAATGGAGGAAAAGGGATTGCGGTGTGGCCATCCCCCATTGGGGGTGATTTCTCACTTTTTGTCTCTCTGTCTCTCTCTTTCTGGCGAGCGAACGTGCCCATAGCAAAAACCTCTCAAAAAAAAAAAATCTAAGAAAAAGCCAAATATGGTGGCATGTGCCTATAGTCCCAGCTAGGAACTGGCGCAGGAGGATTGCAGCAGCAAGACTCTATCTTAAAAAACAAAGTGAGAAATAATATTTAGGGATGGAGTTTACATGATTTGCTGATGAACTGGACAAGGGATGTGAGAGGAAAAAGTCTGTAACATTTCTGGTGTAGGCAACTGCAAGGATGGAGATACCATTTACAGAGAAGAGAGCAGCAGGTCTGGGTGGAAGATTAAGAGTTCACACTTAGACATGTTATAAGACATCCAGATAGGGATGCCAAGCAGATATTGGCTATAATATTCTAGATTGTAGGGGCACAGTCCAAGGTGAAAATATATGGGAGTTGTCAGCATACAAATGCTATTTAAAGCTATAAAAATAGATGAGATTATTAGAGGGGAAAGAAGAATAGAGAAGCGTTTCAAGGACTCCAGCAATTAGGGGTTGAGAGATAAGGTAGAATCAGGAAAGCTGACAAGGCCATGGAGGTAGGGGGAAAAAAATCAAAGTGTGATTTCCTGAAAGCCAACTTCCATTTGGATTCTTTCTTAATGATATCAAGATCTTCTTAAAATATATAGGCATGGTGAAAATGTCTACTTGAGCATTTTTTAATGATTATCATTATTAAACAACTCTTATGTGTAGGGCATTTCAGAGAAAAAAATCTATTTTAGCATTACCTTCTTTATTATTATCAACACCTCAGGGAATGAGGCATTTCTACATACTGTATTAAATGATACCAAGAGATATTATTATAGATAAAATGGTAAAAAAAAAGTCAAAATAGTAGAAATTTTTAAGAAGTTATTATTAGCAATAAAACTATCAGCTTTCAGAGAAAGGTGCAGATATTAATAGAGTAACTCTGTGTACAATAATTCAGACATTTATACATATAATTTATGTGTAAAATACAGATATATTAAATGCCATTTATTGGTAAATGGGAGTTTACTATCAGCCCCCCCCCACACACACACACAAACAGAAAACAAAGAAACTTTTAATGGATGGTTCATTCTTTTTTTTTTTT